TTCTAGGTTGGTGTTTTTATTTTTTCCTCTCAATTCTTTATTTTATTTATTTATTTATTTTTTGAGTTGGAATCTCACTCTGTCGCCCAGACTGGAGAGCAGTGGCCGCTCCCGGCCACCGCAGCCTCGACCTGCCGGGCTCCGGCGATCCTTCCGCCTCCGCCTTCCGAGTAGCCGGAATTACAGGCATGCGCTACCACGCCCGGCTGATTTTTGATTTATTGTAGAGATGAGGTCTCGCTGCCCAGGTGGGTCTCGAACCCGCGGGCTCAGGCAATCCACTCACCTCAGCCTCCCAAAGGCGCGGGATTACAGGCTGAGCCACCGAGCCCGGCTTGTTTAGTTTTTTTCTAATGCTTTTTCTCTTTGCTTTCCTGTTTTGGGGATTTCTTCTTTTTTTTTCCTTCTCTTTTCTTTCATTCTTTTTTTTTTTTGAATTGGGGTCTCACTCTGTCACCCAGACTGGTGTGCAGTGACACGTTCAATGCCACTGCAGCCTCGGCCTGCTGGGCTCAGGTGATCTTCCACCTCAACCTTCCATTAACTGGAGCCACAGGTGTTTGCTACCACTCCCAGTTCATTTTTTAAATTGTAGGGATGATCTTGCCAAGTTTCCCAGTCCTCTTGCCTCTGCTTTCCAAAATGTTGGGATGAGAGGCGTGAGCCACCACACCTGGCAGTTTTGGGGATTTCTGTTAGGACATCCTCAAGCTCTGAGATTCTGTCCTCAGCTGTGTTCAGTCTACTATTAAACTCATCAAAGGCATTATTTATTTCTGTTATAGAGTCTTTGACCTCCAACATTTTTTTTCTTAGAAGCAAATATATTTATAATTAGTGTCCTTTTAAAATGTAGTCTATATGTTATAACATATCCATTTATTGTTAATTACTTTTCATATTGTTTTAAAGGAGCCAAATTGACATAATAAATAGTTTGTAGAAACTGCTAGTAGATATTTAACTTACTTAAAATACGAGGGGGCACAAAAAGAATCCAGAATTTATTTTTTTTAAATTGTGTATTTCCTCTTCTTTTTTTTTTTTTTTTTTTTTTTTAGTAGGAATCTCATTCTGTCACCCAGGCCAGAGTGCAGTGGCACATTCAAGGCCTCTGCAGGTTCAACCTGCTGGGCTCCGGTGAGCCTTCCACCTCAGTCTCCTGAGTAGCTGGAACCACAGGCGCATGCCACCTTGCCTGGCTAATTTTTTTATTTATTGTTGAGACCAGGTCTTCCAAGTTGCCCAGGCTTGTCTCCAACCTGTGGGCTCAGGCAGTCCTCTTGCCTCCGGCTCCCAAATTGCTGGCATTAGAGGCGGGAGCCACACTGCACTCCGCTTTCTTCCATGTTTAAACCATTCACCTTCAAACTCCTCTCCATTTGATGCAATACTCCTATTCAGAGTTTTTTCTGCTGCTCAGAACAGTCTTTGGACCATCAATTTTGATACCTTTTAGTGCTTCTGCTGTCTTTGGGTTCACCCCTTCAATGTTGGCAAACATTTCCCTTTGAGGATTTTTTTCAACCAGGGAAACAACCTAGTAAAAATAGTTGCTAGCCGGGCTTGGTGGCTCAGCCTGTAATCCCACGCCTTTGGGAGGCTGAGGGAGTGGATTGCCTGAACCTGCGTGTTCGAGACCTGCCTGGGCAACTTGGTGAGACCTCATCTCTACAAGAAATAAAAAATCAGCCGGGTGTGGTAGCACGCGCCTGTGGTTCCAGCTACTCGGAAGGCTGAGGTGGAAGGATCGCCGGAGTCCAGCAGGTCGAGGCTG